CCGTGCGGACGCAGCAGAGCCCCCACCGCTGCCCGCGCCGCCCACAGCGCCCCCTGCGGCGCGGAGGAGCAACAGGCGCCGCGGCCTGGCGAGGAGCCCACGTGCGCCGGGCCGGGCCACCTCGCCTCTGGTGCCTGGGGCAGGGTCTTTGTGCCCGAAAGCTTGCAATTAAAGACTTTTTTTTTTTTTGGCAAAAATCTGGTTGGTCTCAGGAAAGATTTCATCTCTACGATGAGACGAGAAGACATACACAAAACTAGACGTCTTGGTTCCAAAATGATACCTTTTATTAGACTGATCAAAGGTGTCATTTTGGAACCAAGAGGTCTAGTTTTCTGTATGCCTTTTTGTCTCAGACCAACACGGCTACCAAGTACGTCTCTAGGATGAGTCCTGATTGTTTTTTGCAAAAACCTGGCTGGGCTCATAAAAGATGTCATCTCTCCTTTGAGTCCTGATTGCCTTTTCCTCTAGACCAGTGCGGCTACAACATGGATACCAGACGCATGGAAGATATCGGATTTTAGCTGATTTTTTAAAATGAAATCTTCATATTTTCCCAGGCAGGAAGCAACTGTGACCCCCTGAAACCTGAGATCCTTTGTTTCAAGGTAATTTGCATCATCACCGATCCTCACCAGGCTCCTGACCACCCATGACCTGCCTGCCCAGAGGAGTTTTCCATCTGTTGACTCTTCTGTGAAATCCTATGAAATACGAACTTTCATTTCTACCCAGGAGGACTTTTACAAACTTTTCTTCGATGCCTGATGAAGGCTGTTTGTGCCCAAAAGCTTGCAATTAAAGGCATTTTTTTTAAAAATCTGGTTGGTGTCATAAAAGATATCATCTCTACTGCAAGTCCTGATTGCCTTCTCCTTTAGACCAATACGGCTACAACCAGGACTCAAGGACACTCGGGCACTTCCCTTTCTCAGATCAACCCAGTGCATCTAGAAGTGGAAGATGAAGACAAAAGGGAGGGACCCTCGGAGCTGAAGCAACCCCAATACAGGGGTGTCACTGCCATCCCTGCGGCCTGGACCTGTTACACATCTGTTCCCTCCACGTGTCTCCTCCAGTAAACTCAAAAACCTCCATTTTGGGGTCTCCCCTGACCAGTTTGAGCAGCTGCCAGAAATCTGACCTGCTGTCTGGATTCCTGAAACCCAACTCCTATTCTGACCCGCCCTGCATGCAAATCCCATAATGTAAAGTTTTCATGTCTGCCTCGATCAGGTCTCGCGGGATCCTCAGTATGAAGTCTGAGGAGGCTAAGGGGGGACCTGGTGACTGTCTATAGACTCACTAGGGGGGACCAGAGGGGTTTGGGGGAGACGCTGTTTCCCCTAGCGCCCGCTGGCATAACAAGGAGAAATGGGCACAAGCTGTTGGAGAGGAGGTATAGATTGAACATCCGCAAAAACTACTTCACCGTTAGGGCGGCTAGGAGCTGGAACCAACTTCCAAGGGAAGTGGTGCTGGCCCCTACCCTGGGGGTCTTTAAGAAGAGGCTGGATGCCCACCTAGCTGGACTCGTTTGAGTCCCATTTCTCTTTTTGGGGTTTTTGTTGTTCTCCCGCCCTGGCGGGGGGTCGGGCTAGAAGATCTACTAGGTCCCTTCCGACCCTTAATCTATGAATCTATGAATCTATGAAAGTCTTCTCTTCCCATCCTGTCTGGCATCTCTCCTGGGTGCAGGTATCCATGCTTCACCTGGAACCTCACTGGGTAGCTTCTTTTCGCCACCGTGTTGTTCTTTTGGCTCCTGACCCCGGGTTCTGGGTCTCCTGGAATTGGGGTCCTCAACTCTCCCCACCACGTGAATGCAGGGACAGGTCAAGGCTTGTTCCCTGAACTGATAAGACCAGGAATTATGCTTGAGCTTAGCCTTAAAAAAAAAAGCCCAGAAGAATGTCGACTGTGGATGTGTCCCCTAGCGATGGCAGCAAGGCCATGTGGGAATGAGTTTTCCACAAGGACCTGCAGAAGGTATCCAGGGACCTGAACTGGCAGGTCACCCACTGGGCACTCCTCATGTTGGGCACTGAGAAACGAAGAGGGGTAGAATGGTCCCCTGAACTGCCCCAGCAAACCTGCTAATGGAAGGTGGAAACAATCATCCACCTCCTCTGGCACTGCCCATATGCTAGGGAGGTGCGGAGTAGAGTCATCTTATTCTTCCTGATGGTGATTAGGGTCAAGACCCTGACCAGGAAGGTGGCACTGTTTGGACACCTAACCAAGCAGCAAAGTACCCTGACAGCTCATTTTGACCAGTTCATCCTGCTTCCAAATGTCCTGTGCAAGACCAGGAACCTGCTCATCATGTACAAACACACGGACCTCAGTTGAGGACTTTGTCAAAATTGGGCTACGATGCAGTTGTACTACAAAAAGTCAGTGGAAGACAATGGGGAGGAGATGGCAGAAATCATATGGGAGAGAAGAGACTGGCACAGACTGTTCAAGAACAGGCTTCCCAGAGAAGATGGTGGCAATGATGATGAGGAGGAAGAGGAAGAAGATGGGGACAATGATGATGAGAGGGTGAGTGACAAAGACGATGAGGAAGAAGAGGACAACAACAATGCAGACTAAGGATTGGGGGAGGAAACAGAAGATTGGGGTGGTGGGGGAAGGGGAAGGAGGAGGTAGAGGGCATGATTGTAATGGGTAGAAGATACAGTGACGGACATGTGGGTGTGTAGGTGTGGCTGTTGTAACGGGACTTTGACGGTGTAACAGGCTTGTGTAATTGTGATGAGGAAAGATGATGGTGCTGCATACGCGGGAGCATGGGTGCATGGTGCAGTTATTGTAATGGGAATGAGAATGGTGCAACTTCAAAGGTGTGGTTTGGACTGTCAAGTGAACCGTATCAGTCACAAGACATGTTGGGAGAGGTGTGTGTGTGTGTGTGTAAATAAATATTTTTGAAAAAAAAAAGAAAGATATATCAACATTGAAAACCAAAAGTACCAGGAAGAGCAGCTGGGAGACTGGCTGCCCAGTAGCTGCAAGACTGCCAGAAGCAAGCGCCGCAACCTATGTGGAGAGATGGGACACGTCTTTAAAGAGTGGCTCCAAGCCTACTGAAACAGCCATGAAAACCAAAGGAGGAGGAGCAGCCACAGAAACCACCCCCCACACACCTCCCTGCCCCTTCCCCCCGGCAGTAACAGAAGAAAGGAGGCAAAAAACAACCTTGAAAGGGAGGAACAGAAGGAGAAAATGCCTCATATTTTCAACTGCTGTTTCTAGCTGTGTGCACGTGTAACTTCTTGTGTGTCAGCTGGAGGTTCCCCGTGCTCCACTGCCTGCATTGTTTCTTCTGCCTCCTTTCCTTTTCCTCTCACCTGCTCTGCTAACTTTGGAAAATGTTGCTTCAGCCATCAGAGCCATCCCTGTTGCCTGCAGCATTCGACAGATGCGGGCTATTTTTCAAAGCTGCTACTTTTGTCAGAACTTGTGGAATCCCTGTCCGAGTTCCCACTCTCTTTTTTTTAAGCTCATATGGACCACCTTCTCCATTACCCAGCTTGTCCATCGTTCACTGAACTCCAGGGGAACTATAAGGGAGGGAGAAAGGGATTCCCTAGCTTGTGATTCTCTGCCATCACAGCTAGTGCCCCTAGGAGAGGGCCGTTTGCCACTTGGTTGGGGTCACTCGTCTTGTCTGGGGTTATCAGTGATGTCATTGCTGTTGTCCTTGCTGGGCACTATTGATGTGCTGCTACTGTTGAAATCTCAGGAACCGCGGTGCCAGCAAAGCTGCAGACAGGAGATCCCAACACCGATCTTGTCTTAAAAAACAATCACAGGCTCGGTTCCAGCAGGAGATCTGGCCAGGTTTATTGTCTACAAGCTGTGGGAGCCTGGAACTGGCTCCCCAAGAAACCCGGAATGGGAAACACTGGGCAACTGTCCCTGTGCACTGGGGTCCTGGGCACCGGACGCTACGCTCCTCTGAGCTCGCAGACTTATGGGGCAGCCTCTCCAGCACCAGCGAGAGAAGTAATCTAGTAGGGCTGTGTGAAATTTGGCCGGCAGTTTTGTTTTGACGCTGTTTCGACTAATTTCCAAGCTCCTCAACAGCCGGCAGTCTTCATGGCCGCAGCAGGGGCCACCATCCCTGCAGCTGTCACCCCGCTGCGCCGTAACACATGCAGTGTCACCCATGGCACGAGGTTTGCTTGTCCGCAGCTTGAGGTGCAGTTTCCCCCAAACCCCTGCACCTGTCTCCTTGAAAGGAGGCAGACTTTGTTGCGTCAGCAGGGGCTAGCA